AGGGTAATAAAGAAGTGGAGAAAGATTCATATGGTCTATAGACATTAGTATCTTGAGAGTGATAGTTTTGGTAAATTGTCCAGCAAGTAGAAAATACTTGAATATTTGAATCATACAGAGAAGTATCAAGGTTGACGTAACGAATGCATGTGCACCCACTGCCCAGCTTTTCAGTTATTACTGCTTTCACATGTTTGCATCAAATTGTTTTTTAAGAAATAAAAAGTACAGGCCGGGTGCGATGGCTCATGCCTGTAATCCCAGCACTTTGGGAGGCCGAGGTGGGCAGATCACAAGGTCAGGAGATCAAGACCGTCCTGGCTAACACGATGAAACCCTGTCTACTAAAAATACAAAAAAATTAGCGAGGCGTGGTGGCGGGCGCCTGTAGTCCCAGCTATTCGGGAGGCTGAGGCAGGAGAATGACGTGAACCCGGGAGGCAGAGTTTGCAGTGAGCTGAGATTGCGCCACTGCACTCCAGCCTGGGCGACAGAGCGAGATTCCGTCTCAAAAAAAAAAAGAAAAGAAATAAAAAGTACAGATGTGGTTGAAATTTTCAGTGGAACTCTTTCTAATCCTGCTCCCTTCCCTCCCTCCATCCACTGGGGTAACCAGTATTCTAGGTTTGGTCTTTGTCATTCTCTTGCATTTGTCTATATTTGCTATTATGTGTCTGTATGATTAAACAATACTTAGCATTGTTTTGCATGTGTTAAATTTTATATTAATGGTATCACTGTGATACTATGTTTCTGTAATATGTTTATCTCATTCAACATTTTTTTGAGATTCACCCATGTTGATAATGTGGCTGTTTTTATTTTAACTGTTATTTGGTGTTCCATTCATTATCTGAATATTTCTTTCTCCGTTGTTGTTGTTTTTTTGAGATGGAGTTTCACTCTGCTGCCCTGGCTGGAGTGCAGTGGCGTGGTCTCAGCTCACTGCAACCTCTGCCTCCTGGGTTCAAGCAGTTATCCTGCCTCAACCTCCTGAGTAGCTGGAACTACAAGCACACACCACCATGCCTGGTTAATTTTTGTATTTTTAGTAGAGATGGGGTTTTACCATGTTGGCCATGCTAGTCTTGAACCTCAAGTGATCCGCCCACCCCAGCCTCCCAAAGTGTTGGAATTACAGGCGTGAGCCACGGCATCCAGCCTGAATATTTCATATATTGGTAGATACTCAGGTTGTTTGTAATTTTTTCTATTTTGACAATGTACCACAGTAATACATTTTACATTGTGACCCAAAATAAATGAATACACATGTAGCCAAAACTACAATTTTTAATGAGGTCATACCCCTACTGCAAATTATATACTCTGTGATGTGTTCTGCTCTGTTCTATTTTATTAGAAAAAAATGCACTCGACCGGGCACAGTGGCTCACGCCTGTAATCCCAGCACTTTGGGAGGCCGAGGCGGGTGGATCACCTCAGGTTGGGAGTTCGAGAGCAGCCTGACCAACATGGAGAAACCCCGCCTCTACTAAAAATACAAAATTAGCTGGGCGTGGTGGCACATGCCTATAATCCCAGCTACCAGGGAGGCTGAGGCAGGAGAATTGCTTGAACCTGGGAGGCGGAGGTTGCGGTGAGCCGAGATCGTGCCATTGCACCCCAGCCTGAGCAACAAGAGTGAAACTCTGTCTCAACAAAAAAAAAAACACTCATGAGCCACTGAAAGGTCACACTAGCTGTAGCTTGAAAAGTACTACTGGAGGATGTACCCAGGAGGGGAACTGGAGGGCCAAAGATGTCCATTTTCAACTTTACTAGATATTGCTAAATGTCTTTCCAAATCGTGTTCATTTACATCCCCACAAGCAGTGTGCTGTAGTGCCTGTTGCTTCTCATTCTCACTATTGGTGTTACCAGTCTTTTTCATTTTTGCCAATCTGGTAGGTATGAAATGGCGTCTCAGTGTTGGTTTAATTTGCATTTTTGAGCTAGAGGTTCCAGCCAGTGCAGTAAGACAAAGTAGAGCACCATTTTAGATCTTTATTGACTTCTCAATTTTCTTTATTTGCCTATTTCCTGTTTATACCTTTGCCCATTTTCCAACTCAGTTTTTTGGTCTTTTTTCATATCAATTTGTAAAAATTACTGATATATATTTTGCATTCCTTTCCCAATAATATGTAATATGTAATTATTTTAATATTACATTTAATATTACATATTATGTAATCTGGGAGGCGGAGGTTGCAGTATGCATTTTTATGCATACATAAAAATAATATGTAATTATTTTCTCCCAGTTTGTTGCCCACCCCATTTATTTTATTTTTTTGTTCATGAAGGTTCTTATTTATATTATTGTGAAATTTATTAATCTTTTACCTTATGGTTTATCCTTTTGGGATTTTGTTTAAGGAATTCTTCTTAACTCTGACTTTATAAAATATATTAGTGTATTGTAGAAATTATAATTTTTTCAAATTTTCATTTTTAAAGGTATTTATTTATTTATTAGAGCTAGGGTCTCACTCTGCCCCTCTCTTGCCCTCCCCTGCTCCTCTTTCTTTTTTTGATACGGAGTCTTGCTCTGTCACCCAGGCTGGAGTGCAGTGGTGTGATCTTGGCTCACTGCAACCTCCGCCTCCCAGATTCAAGCGATTTTCCTGCCCCAGCCTCCCAAGTAGCTGGGACTACAGGCATGCGCCACCATGCCCAGCTAATTTTGTATTTTTAGTGGAGATGGAGTTTTACCATCTTGGTCAAGCTGGTCTCAAACTCCTGACCTCAGGTGATCCTCCCGCCTCAGCCTCCCAAAGTGCTGGGATTACAGGCATGAGCCACTGCGCCTGGCCAGATCTTGAGTTTCATGAGTATATACATTTTTAAAATTTATTGAATGTATACTTGGATTTGTACACTTCATTATATGCAAATTTTACCTCAAAAGAAAAAAACTGTAAAATATTGAACTCTAGCTGATGCTGTACCTGCTGAAGTATTTAGGGGGATCATACTGATATTCGCAGTTTGCTTTGAAACACATTAAAAAAACCTCAATGTGAGTTGATGAATGGATAGAAAGATGGATAGATATGTATAATAAGATGTTAAAATTCAACTTTGCACATATGTTTGGAAGTTTTTATAATAAAATATTGGACTCCTACAACTCAGCTGCAAGAAACCAAATAACTCAATATAAAAAATGGGCAAGGGACTCGAATAGACATCTCTGTAAAGAAGACATAAAATCACCAACAGGTTAGATGCTCAACTGTCATCAAAAATATAAAAGATAACTGGTGGCAGTGAGGTCATAGAGCAACTGGAACCCTTATATACTGTTGGGAATATACAGTGGTCCAGCCACTATGGAAAACAGCATGGAGATTCCTCCAAAAAATTAAAACTAGAATTGCCATATATGATCCTAGCGTCTCACTTCTGGGTATTTATCCAAGAGAATTAAAATCAGGACCCCAAAGAGATATCTGCACTTCCTTGTTCATTGTTGTGTTATTTACAATAGCAAGATGTGAAAATAGCCTAAATGCCCATTGGTGGATGAATGACTAAAGCAATTGTGATCTGCATGTACAATGGAACATTATTCACCCTTAAAAACACAAGAGATTGCTGTCATATGTGACAACATGGTTCAACCTTGGGGACATTATGATAAGTGAAACAAACTGGTCATAGAAAGACACACACTGCATGATTGTACTTATAGAAGGTATCTAAAATAGTCATAGAAACAGAGGAGAATGGTGGTTGCCAGGATCTGGGGTGAGGGACAGATGGGGAGTTGCTCTTCAGTGACGCAAGGGGAATAAGTTCTAGATAGCCGTATAACATTAGGCTTATAGTTAGCAATGATGTATTGTACACTTTACATTTTAAGAGAGTAGATAATATGTTGAGTGTTCTTACCACAATTTTGAAAAATAAATAAAATGTTGGGAAACGCAGCAATAAAATTTTTTCCATAACGGCTATTTATGATGGAAAGAAAGGTAAAAAGCAGTCGTTTATTTTTTATTTGCTTTGAGGTTCTTTAGAGGGGTTTATTTAAGTCAGGCTGATTATATTACTAACAACATGTAGAAAAGTTCATTTAGGTTTACAGGGAGGCTTATTTTATTTGACCCACTTAGAATATATATGCCAATATACAGATGAGCAATTAAATTTAATTTTTATTTAAGCCTTTTACAAGATTCACAAATAAAGATAAAGGTAACATGCCTTTTAAAAAAGATTGTCTTTGATATGTTGAGGTCCCAGGAATCAGAGACTTCAACAGTTCCTTAGAGTCTACCCTCCATCTACCCTTGAAAAGACAAAACAAGACATTATACATTAGTTTCAGGGCAAGCCAGACTAACTTTTATTAACATTTTCTCAGAGTGGGAAAGTTATCTCTTTTCTGCCAGAATGCCTTCATCAACTTGACCTTGTGTTGAACATCTCCATTTTTGGCACAATTCCCAGATATACAAGAAAATTTTTTCAGTTACGATGGTATTCATTCAGATACTCCTTTAGGTGTTGTTGGAGTTCCAAATGTGAGTGATTATCTCCAACTTCCTTAACTTGGCAATCTCTTGGAGTAATGGAAACAGGGACACAGGGATAGAAGTAAAATCTGTAAATTTTTTCAATTTTGGCAAGCTTTTCCTCTTAGTGCTGCAATTTTTCCTAGCACCTCTAAGAATATTGCCTTAACAGTATGGGCATGCTGGCAAAACAAAGCCAAACAAAAACAACATTATACAAAATTCAAACTGGTGTGTGGTGGGGAGGTGTAAATCATTTGCTTTTTTACAAGATTCATTATATGTTTTATTGGTAAATCACAATATGAATCATGTTAAACAATAGTGAAGTATATTGATAATATCAGGACCATTCTATATTTACTGACAAACGTATTGGGAACGCAGTGCTACCTTTTTTGTACCTTTAATTGTTTCTGTCTTGAACAGTTTACAGGCAGCTGCCTAATCTCAGCACATACGTTATTATTTCAGGTCCTGTGGGAATGGCCGCTGCTGCTGCTGTGGCAACAGGAAAGAAACGGAAACGGCCTCATGTATTTGAGTCTAATCCATCTATCCGGAAGAGGCAACAAACACGTTTGCTTCGGTGAGGGCTCCCTTATCCATATTATTACTATTCCTCAAATACTTCCTGTGAATGACAGACTTAGAACATATATGGTTAGGTTTGTCAAGGATGCTTGGTTTGATTCCTTGATGACAGATGTAGACTTAAAAGTATTCTTACAAAATTAAATACATGAAAACAAAGAAATATGATTTAACAGATATGTAATATCACATTAATCCATTCAGAAAAGTTGTATGCCTGCTATGTGCAAGCCATTGTTGTAGACATTGGGCATAGAAGAGTGAACAAAACAAGTTGCTTTAAATAGCTTGTATCCTGCTAGAAGGGGGAAAGAAAAAAAACGATATGCAATATGTCAGGTGATGATAAGTGCAATGGGAAAAAAAATACAGTGGAGTAAGGAAAATAGAAAAGTCAGGAGGTAGGGGGATATAGTCATTTTTCTCTTTTATGAGGATGGTCTGGGAAATGCTTTTTGATAAGGCAGCCTTTGAACAGAGACTTGAAGACGCTGAAAGAGCACACACGTTGATACTGAGGGGAAGAACATCTCAGGCAGGGGGAGTATCAAGAACAAAGACCCCGAAGTGTGAACGTGGTAGTTGTTTTTGAGGAACAGCCAGGGAGATATGAGAAGATGTTTGGAGTAGTAGAGAAGAGCCACTCCAGGAGATCTTTTTTTTTTTTTTTTTTGATAGATGCGGTCTTGCTATGTTGTCTAGGCTGGTCTGGGACTCCTGGCCTCAAGCAATCCTTGTGCCTCATCCCCAAAATGCTGGGATTACAGGTGTGGGTCACTGCACCTGGCCTAGGAGATCTTATAGTCCAATATCAGGGGCTTGACTCTTACTCTGAGTGAGATGAGATGTCAGTGTAGGTTTTTGACCAGAGCAATGGTATCATCTTACTTACATTTTTAAAGAATCACTCAGGCTACGGTGTTGAGAATAGAATCTGAGGATACAAGAATGGAATCAGGGAGACCAATTAGGTGGTGATTATAGTAATCTAGGCCAGAAATGATAGTGTCTTAAAATCAACATGGCAGCAGCATGGGTAGTAAGAAGTGATCAGGTTCTAGATGTATTTCAAAAGTCAACTCATCATGATTCGTTGACGTGGAGTGTGCGAGAGAAAAAGGAGTGCAGGGTGATTTTTGGTCCGATTACTAGAAGGATTGCGATGGCATTTACTGGAGAGGGAGCAAGCATGACAGTGAGGGTGAGACAGAATCAGGAATTTGGTTTTGGACCTGGTAAGTTTGTGATGCCTCTAACCATTAAGTGGAGATACAAAATAAGCAGTTGGATATATGAGTCTGGAATTCAAATGAGAGGCCTTAGTTGAAGATGATATAAGCATATAAGTAGTATTTAGAACTAGGAGACTGGATGAGGTCACTTAGGGAGGGAGTACGGACTGAGGCCTGAAGCGCTCCACCTTTTGGAGGTTAGAGAGATGAAAGGAGCCAGCAAAAGAGTCTAAGAAGCAACCAGTGAGTCAGGAAACAAACCAAGGGAGTGGTATCCTGGAAACCAGGTACAAAAAGTGTGTCAGGAAGGAGAGCATGTGATCAGCTATCAAATGCTTCTGACAGGTTGAAAAAGATGCCAACTGACCATTAGATTTAGTAACATGGAGTTCACGATTGAACTTGACAAGAGTGTATTCAAAGGAGCGGTAAGGGTGAAAAGATTGGAATAGCTTTAAGGGAGAATGGAGAGAGGGGAATTAGAGACAGTGAATATAAACCATTGTTTCAAGGCATTCCATCAGATTTCTTGTTTGATAAGTGGTCCTTTGCTCACACATTTCAGAATTCTGAAATGTAGAACTTTGAAATCATCTCCCATGATTTCAGAGGGAAGAGGCTGTGTTTCTGTTTCATCCATTGTTACTATGTTTTAAAAAGCTGTTTTTGGGTTGATGGGTACAGCAGACCACCATGGCATATGTATACCTTTGTAACAAACCTGCACATTCTCTACATGTATCCCGGAACTTAAAGTAAAATAATTTTTTTAAGCCGTTTTCGGCTGGGCACGGTGGCTCACGCCTATAATCCCAGCACTTTGGGAGGCCGAGGTGGGCAGATCACCTGAGGTCGGGAGTTCAAGACCAGCTCGGCCAACATGGTGAAACCCCATCTCTACTAAAAATACAAAATATTAGCCAGGCATGGTGACAGGTGCCTACAATCCCAGCTAGTCGGGAGGCTGAGGCGGGAGAATAGCTTTAACCCAGGAGGCGGAGGCTGCAGTGAGCCAAGATTGCACCACTGCACTCTAGCCTAGGTGACAGAGTGAGACTCCATCTTAAAAAAAAGCTGTTTTCATTTCATCCTCACTTGTGAAATACTGTAGGACTGAGAATAATTGTTTATATCACAATGAAAATCTGAAGCTACAACGTTTTAAAAGCATAGGTATACCTTGGAGATATTGCAGGTTTGGTTCCAGACCACTACAATAAAGCAAGTAGCACAATAAGTCACAGAAATTTTTTGGTTTCTCAATGCATAAAAAAGTTATGTTAACACTATACTCCGTTAAGTGTTGCAGTGGTATTATGTCTAAAAAAAGCAATGTACATACCATAATTTTAAAATGCTTTTTTTTTTTTTTTTTTTGGAGAACAAATTCTAGCTCTCTTGTCCAGGCTAGAGTGCAGTGGTGCGATCATGGCTCACTGCAGCCTCCATCTCCTGGGCTCAAGTGATCCTCTCACTTAGCCTCCCAAGTAGCTGGGACAATAGGTGCATGTCACCATACCTGGCAAATTTTTTCTTCTTTTTGTGAAGACAGGGTCTCACTATGTTACCCAGACTGGGCTTAAACCTCTGGGCTCAAGCAATCCTCCCGCCTCAACCTCCCAAAGTGCTGGAATTACAGGCGTGAGCCACTGGGCCTGACCACTAAAACACTTAATCGCTAAAAAGATGCTAATGCTCATCTGAGCCTACAGTGAGTCATCGTCGTATTGCTGGTTGAGGGTCTTACCTCGGAGTTGATGACTGCTGACTGATCAGGGTAATTGTTGCTGACGGTTGGGGTGGCTGTGGCAATTTCTTAAAAATAAGACAACAAATTTTGCTGTATGGATTGACTCTTTCTTTCATGAATGATTTCTCTGTAACATGTGATGCTGTTTGATAGCATTTTACCCACAGTAAAACTTTCAAAATTGGAAAATTAATCCCCTCAAACTCTGCTGCTGCTTCATCAATTCAGTTTGTGTCATATTCAAAATCTTTTATTGTCATTTCAACAGTATTCATAGCATCTTCATCAGGAGTAGATTTCATCTCAGGAAACTGCTTTCTTTGCTCATCAATAAGAAGCACCTCTCATCCCTTCAAATTTTATCATGATATTGTAGCAATTCAGTCCCATTTTCAGGGTCCACTTTTAATTCTGGTTCTCTTACTGTTTCTACTGCATCTGCAGTTACTTCCTCCACTGAAGTGTTGAACTCCTTAAAGTCATGCATGAGGCTTGGAATCAAGTTCTTCCAAACTTCCATTAATGTTGATAATTTGACCTCCTCCCATGTACTTGTAGATGAATTACAAGTACTCTTAATGGCATCTTGAATGGTGAATCCATTCTAGAAAGTTTTCAATTTATTTTACCCAGATCCATCAGAGGAATCATTATAGCAGCTGTATCCTTTCAAAATGTATTTCTTACTTAATAAGACCTGAATGTTGAAATGACTCCTTGATCCATGGGCTGCAGAATGGATGTTGTCTTAGCAGGCATGAAAACAGCATTAATCTCTTTGTACATCTCCGTTAGAGCTCTTGGGTGACTAGGTGCATTGTCAATGTGCAACAATAGTTTGAAAGGATTTTTTTTTTCTGAGCAGTAGGTCTCAACAGTGGGCTTAAAATAGTCCATAAACCATGCTGTAAACAGATGTACTGCCATCCAGGGTTTATTATTCTGTTTACAGAGGACAGGCAGAATAGATTTAGCATGATTTTTAAAGGACCCTAAAGTCACTAGCTGCATTAGGCCCTAACAAGAGAGTCAGCCTGTCCTTTGAAGCTTTGAAACCTGGCATCGACTTCTCTCTAGCTAGGAAAGTCCTAGATGGTATCTTCTTCCAATAGAAGGCTGTTTTGTCTACATTGAAAATCTGTTGTTTAGTGTAACCACTTAGCTAAATCATCTGGATAACTTGCTCCAGCTTCTACATCAGCACTTGCAGCTTCACTTTGTACTTTTGTGTATTAGAGATGGCTTCTTTCCTTGAACCTCATGAACCAACCTCTGAAACAGTCAGGGCTTTGCTCTGCGTTAGACTTTGGCCTATGGGATTGTTGTGGCTGGTATGATCTTTTATCCAGACCACTAAAACTTTCTCCATATCAGCAATAAAACTGTTTTGCTTTCTTATCATTTGTGTGTTCATTGGAGTAGCACTTGTAATTTCTCTCAAGGACTTTCCTTTGCATTAACAACACGGCCAACTGTTTGGCATAAGCGGTGTTGCTGTCAGCCTGTCTTGGCTTTCGACATGCCTTCCACACTAAGCTTAGTCTTGTCTAGCTTTTGATTAAAAGTGAGAGATGTGCGACTCTTCCTGAAACTTGAACATTTAGAGGCCATTATAGGGTTATCAGTTGGCGTAATTTCAATACTGTGTCTCAGGGAACAGGAAGGCCTGAGGAGAGGGAGAGAGGCAGGAAACAGTTGATCAGTGGGGCATTCAGAACACACACAACATTTATTGGTAAAGTTTGCTGTCTTTTGTTGGGCACTGTTTGTGGTGTCCCAAACCAATTAAAATAGTAACATCAAAGATCACTGATCACAGATCACTATAACAGATTATAATCATAATGGAAGAGTTTGAAATGTTACTAGGGTTACCAAAATGTGACACAGAGACATGCAGTGAGCACATGCTGTTAGGAAAATAGCGCTGATGAACTTGCTTGACATTGGGTTGCCACAAACCTTTGTTTTAAAGAAAGATCCCACAGTGTATGTGAAACACAAAGTAACAAAGCACAATAAAACTAGGTATGCTTGTAGTACTTTTGGATAAAATTATCTCAATGAGATACAAACAATATCAATAAAAGGTAGTAAAAGCAAATCATTTGAGCCCCTTTTATTAAGCTGGAGATGATATAATAAATTTTGTAAGACCACATGTTGGTTGTAATTTTTTTTTTTGAGGCAAAGTCTCGCTCTGTTGCCCAGACTGGAGTGCAATGGCACCATCTTGGTTCACTGCAACCTCCACCTCTTGGATTCAAGCAATTCTCATGCCTCAGACTCCCAAGAAATTAGGATTACAGGCATGTGCCACCAAGCCTGGCTAATGTTTTTGTATTTTTAGTAGGGACGGGCTTTACACCATGTTGGCCAGGCTGGTCTCGAACTCCTGGCCTCAAGTGATCCGCCCGCCTCGGCCTCCCAGAGTGCTGGGATTACAACAGAAATGAGCCACCGTGCCTGGACAGTTGTAATCTTTATAATTTTAAGTAGCAGTAAGTGGTGTTACTCAGATCAAGAAGAATGATACCATGTTCAAAATTGTGTCGTGGTTATGTCCCAAGGCAAAACCTTCAATTGAGCCTTCTATCGGTAGTCTTTAAGAAAAAGGTATGTACATGTTTCTGCTGATCCCCTTTTCACATTTTACGTAAAAGAAAGCATATCTGATCAGAGTAAACTGTCTTAAGTCATTTGTGTCTATGTCACTATAATTTCCATCTTTTTAAAACTGTTTTTATTCTTGTTTCCTTTTCTGATTCAGGAAACTTCGAGCCACATTAGATGAATATACTACTCGCGTGGGACAGCAAGCTATTGTCCTCTGTATCTCACCCTCCAAACCTAACCCTGTCTTTAAAGTGTTTGGTGCAGCACCTTTGGAGAATGTGGTAAGTCACAACCAAGCTGTTCTCGCTTGCCCTTTGCTTTCTGTCAGCTGCTTCCATTGTTCTGATCCTCTGTCAAGAATAACAGTTGGCATTTCTGTTACCCCCTAATCCAGGCATGGGAGAGGGGACTAGTTTTCAGATTGCTTTATGCATATCAAAACAAAATGATCATTACTGTTTTTACTTCCTGTGTCAAGGTATTTTACCTGTGTCAAGGTATTTTACCTGCCCAGATGCAATGGGTGGCCGGGGGAAGTGGGGACAGGAGGGGGAAACAAGGGGTTTTGTTTGTTAGGAAACAATGCAGGATTTTGTAAGAAAATTACTGATTTATATCAGAAACAAAATAGTAGATAATTCCAAGGTGTCAATTTCCTAAGGGAAACCTGGGGGGCATTTTATTGATCAGTTATTTGAGTTACATATTTGAAATCTCTTACATTTATCAAATAATTGATTTAATACTCTGCTGCAAATATAGAACTATATTTGAACATTTTGATTGTATAACTATCCAGAGCTAATTTTATAAAAATAGTCTTTTGCCCCTGCATACTTATACAATAGGAACTATTCCTTCTTGGGCCAAATTAACTTTGAATCAGTGGAGTAATGATCTGTCAAGATTTAAATTGCATTTTGTTTTTATTAGGATAAAATTCATTAGCTTAAAATGACATTTATTAGATGTCTCCCATATTGAATAAAGGCATTTTTTGAGTTCAGAATTAGTAATCAATTGATAGAAATTCTGTTTGTTGTATTTTTTTTCACAACATCTTCCCATCCCTGAAATGTTGTGGGTATTTCTTAACATTTTTGAGTTTTATTTTGAGTTTTTCCAAAAATTCCTGAAGCCCTACAGTTAGGATGTGTTAGGACTTTTCCTTAGAAGAATATAGTAGAAGGCTCCTACTTCAAAATGTTATCTGAGAAATAGCCTTTACTGTCACACTGTTGACAAACACGAAATCTGGGCATGTCTTCTCTTCTTTAGTACCAAAAATCTAAAACAATACTACTAATAGTAGTAAAGATGATGCAGTCTATGAAAAAGATTCATCTAGAAGACTCAGAAAAATACTTCAGAAAATTACTCACTGCAAAAACATTTTTTTAAGTTTTGCAAAACTATTGGAGTCCTCCATAGAATACAGGAAGATATAGACTCTGTTAAACAGGATACACTAGACTGAGATAAAAAGCATTTTACCTTTGACTGACATTGATAAATACAGGTTAGGGACTACAAGTACCAGTAAAATTAGAAGCAGAATATATCTTCCAGAGCACTGAAGAAAAAAAATGAAACCAAGTCTCTGTATAAAAGATAGAAACAAGGAAGGAATTTTTAAAAACTAAATAAAACACATAGTCTAGAACACTAATACAAGTGAGGCCAGTTAATTCTGTTATAAAACATACATATAAATGGGTTAAACTGCCTTGTTAAGGGCATAGATGTTCTTTCAGGTTGAAACAACAATCCAAATCAAACCTGTCTCTATTCAGTGTATATGTCATACTCATAGCCACTTAACAAATGTTAAAAGCAGCTGCAAGTAATAGAATCAAGAAAGTGAAAAGACAACACGCAGAATGGGAGAAATATTTGCAAGTCATATGTCTCATAAAAAAAACTTGTGTTGAGAATATACAAGGAATTCTTACAACTCAACAATAAAAAGCGGGCGGATCATGAGGTCAGAAGTTTAAGATCAGCTTGGCCAATATGGTGAAACCCCATCTCTACTAAAAATACAAAAAAAGCCAGGCGTGGTGGCACCTGCCTGTAGTCCCAGCCACTCGGGAGGCTGAGGCAGAAGAATCTCTTGAACCCGGGAGGTGGAGGTTGCAGAGAGCCAAGATTGTGCCACTGCATTCCAACCTGGGCAACAGAGCGAGACTCCATCTCAAAAAAAAAACCAAAAAGACAACCCAATTTAAAAATAGGCAAAAGGGCCACGCACAGTGGCTCACGCCTGTAATCCTAGCACTTTGGGAGGCCAAGGCAGGTAGATCACTTGAAGTCAGGAGTTCAAGACCAGCCCGGCCAATATGGTGAAACCCCATGTCTACTAAAAATACAAAAATTAGCCAGATGTGGTGGTGGGCACCTGTAATGCCATCTACTCAGGAGGCTGAGGCAGGAAAATTTCTTGAACCCCGGAGCCAGAGGTTGCAGTGAGCTGAGATCACGTGCCGCTGCACTCCAGCATGGGTAACTGAGTGAGACTCTGTCTCAAAAAATAATAAAAATAAAAATAGGCAAAAGATCTGAATAGATACTTCTTCAAAGAAGATATAGAAATGGTCAAAAAGCACATGAGAACTAATGATAAATATCATTAATCATTATAGTCATTTATCATTAATAATCACATTTTGATTTTTCATTTCCCTCATGACTATGATTATTAATCATTAGAAAATAAAAACCACAGTGAGATACCACTTCATAACCACAGGGATGACTATAATCAAAAAGACAACAATAAGTGTTGGTGAAGATTTGGAGAAAGAAAAGGCAAAATGATACGGCTGCTTTGGAAAACAGTTTGTCAGTCTCTCAAAATGTTAAAAGTAGTGTTGCCATGTGACCTAGCAGTTCTATTCCTGAGTTATACCCAAGAGAACTGAAAGCGTATGTTCACACACAAACTTGTATACAGTGTTTATAGCAGCATTATTTGTAATTGCCAAAAAGTGGAAACAACTCAGATGTTCATCGGCTGATGAATGGATAAATAAAATGTGGTATATCCATAGAATGGAATATTATTCAGCAAGAAAAAGGGAAGAAGTACTGATATTATACTACAGCATGGATGAACCTTTAAAACATTGTTGTAACCAAAAGAACTCAGTCACAAAAGATCACATATTGTAGGATTCCATTTATATGCAATGTCCAGGATAGATAAATCTTATTTATAGAGAGAGAGTAGATTAATGGTTGCCAGAGACTGGGGAAGGGGAAGGGAGGAATGGGGAGTGACAGCCAGTGGGCATGGAGTTTCTTTTAGGAGGAATGAAATGCTCCAAAATTAGATTTTGGTGATAATTTTAGGACCCTACGAGTATGAAGTCTTACCCTTTAAATGGGTGAATTGTATGGTATGGCAAACTGAATAATGACCCCCCCAGAGATGTACAGGTCCCCATCCCTGGAACCTGTGACTGTTACCTTATACAGCAAAAGTGCAGTTGTAATTAAGTTAAGGGTCTTGAGATGGGGAGATTATTCTCGATTATCCAGGTAGGCCCTAAATGTAATCACAAGTATCTTTATAAGAGGGAAACGAAGGGAGATTGGCATAGAAGTAGATGTGTTGCTGGAAGCAAGAGGTTGGATGCAAGGAGGGGGTCCAGAGCCAGTGATACAGGCTAGACAGAAGCTAGACAAGACAAAGAAACAATTCTCTCTTAGAGATGCACCCTTAGAGCCTGCAGAAGGACCCGGCCCTGCTAACACCTTGACTTTTGCCAAGTGAAACCAAGAAAATAAATTTGTGTGGGTTGGGTTTAAGCCACCTAGTTTGTGGTGATTTGTGGGAGCCATAGGAAACAAATACATATGGTGTGTGAACTGTGTATTAGTAAAGCTGTTACAAATGTTAAATGTAAAATAACAGGCAAAAGTTTGTCAGAAAAATGCCTACAAAAATAAATCATGGATCACAGCATTAATATCAGACAAAGCCTAATTGTCAAGGCAAAAAAGTATTAACGACAACCAGGGGTCATTTAGTATTGATAAGAAGTATTTATTTATTAATTTATTTATTTAGAGACAGGGTCTTGCTCTGTTGCCCAAGTTAGAGTGTAGTGGTGCAATCTCGGCTCACTGCAATCTCCACCTCTTGGGCTCAATTGATCCTCCCGCCTCAGCCTCCTGAGTAGCTGGGACTACAGGCAGGTGCCACCACACCCAGCTAAAATAAGAAGTACATATTTATCATGAACCTTTATATTCTTCAAGTAACTTTAAAGCAAAACATGGGGTCAGGTGCAGTGGCTTATGCCTGTAATCCCAGCACTTGGAAGGCTGAGGTGGGAGGATTTCTTGAGGCCAGAAGTTCAAGACAAGCCTGGGCAACATAGTGGGACCTCGTCTACACACACACACACACACAAAAAAGCCAGGCATACTGGCCCACACTCAGCTACTTGGGAGGCTGAGGCAGAAGGATTGCTTGAGCCCAGGAGATCAAGGCTGCAGTGAGCCATGATGCTACTGCACTCCAGCCTGGGTGACAGAGTAAGACCCTGTCTGTCAATCAGTTAGTCAGTCAGTCCACCAGACATACACATACCACAGCATGTAGATCAAAAAGTTAGAAATGTAAGGAAAAAAGGTAGTTAAAACCCACAGTGGGGCTGGGCACGGTGGCACATATGTATAATCCCAGCACTTTGGGAGCTGAGGTGGGAGGGTTGGTTGAGTCCAGGAGTTTGAGACCAGCCCAGGTAACATAGTGAGACCTCATCTCTACAAAAAATTTAAAAATTAGCCAGATGTGGTACCACATGCCTATAATCTCAGCTTCTTGGGAGGCTGAGATGGGAAGATTGCTTGAGCCCAGAGGTCAAGTCTGCAGTGAGCTGTGATTGCACCACTGCACTCTAGCCTGGATGACAGGATGACAGCCTGTCCAAAAGAAAAACACACACACACACACACACACACACACACACACACAATGGTAGTAAAAGAATTTACTATCCTTGTCAGATCAACAAAGCAAAATATAAACAAGAATATAGAGATCTGAATAACAGATTTAATAAGGTTGACAGTCTAGGCAACATAGCGAGACCCTGTCCCTACAAAAAAAATTAAAAAAAAAAAATTGATCCAGGTGTGGTGGTGTGCACTTTTAGTCCCAGCTATTTGGGATGCTGAGGCAGGAGGATTACTTGAGCCTAGGAGTTCAAGGATGCAGTGAACTATGATTATTCCACTGTGCTCCAGCCTGGGTGACAGAGTGAGACAATGG